GACATGGGTGAAAGTTGTAAATTCGCGATAGTTAAAGGGTTGGGTCAGATGTAAGCAGGTCCAAATCAGAAGGACCTGTTTTGTCAATATGCATCAGACCTGCAATTCAGAAGGACCTGTTTTGTAAATATGCATCAGACCTGTTTTGTAAATATGCATCAGACCTGCAAATTTAGAAGTACGAAAACGACCTCTCCTTTGAAGCTCCCTATTGGTCTGAATATTCAACTATTACGACAAAAATTTCAATATACATATAGACTACACTTTGCTCTCCATTCTTGCTTCAAGAAAACCAAACTTTCGTTAAGAGTCGAAGGAGAAATCGGAGGGTGAAGTTCGGATCTGAAAAGCTCCGTTTATTGACGATTGGAGGTAAAATACTCGACTAAATTTCGAGCTCTTTATATGGATGGCTTCATTTTTAGGTCATCTATAAAACCTTAGTAGTCTTATGTCTCATATTTTAGTTTTTGAATGTCGAATTATATTTTAAGTCTGGTTAGTGAAACCAGAGGCTCTGGTCGCGAAACCAGAAGCTCTGGAAGAGAGACCAGAGGGGCTCTGGTCCTGGATGTTGAATTATTTTCTATGGTTTGGAACCAGATGCTCTGGTCGTGAAGACCATAAGCTCTGGAAGAGAGACCAGAGGAGCTTTGGTCATGTGTTGAAATATATTCTAAGTCTAGTTGGTTCAACCAGAGAGGCTCTGGTCAATACAACCACAGGGGCTCTGGTCCTAAAGGACATAGTTTCTCCCTTGAGAAGGGGAAAACTTGGCCTATGGCCATTGATATTGGTTAAAAGTGTTTTGAACCAGAATGATTGTTTTCATGAGGAATCAGAGAGRCTCTGATCTTAGATTTTGAAATATATTCCAAGTCTGGTTGGTCCTCAATATTGGACAAGAGGATTCTGGTATTTGATTTGGAGGATGAGCAAGTTTTTACTATATATGTTAAATTGGATTAAAGGTTTTGTATCTTTTGATAAGAGCTTTTATGTCAAAATCATGCTTTTGAAGTTTTAAAAAAACGAGTTTTATACTTAGAATCTTTTTATAAAAAACAGACCAGAGAAACTCTGGTTGACTTTCATGTAACACCCAAAAACTTAGAAGCACATGGCTCATTTAATTAACTCCTTGTGTGTGTGTATATACATATATATATATATATATATATATACTAGTGGTGTACCCGCGCGATGCAGCGCGGGTAAATCACAATCCGGAAACATTAGTTTGACTTTGAATCATGAGTTTGTGTGGTTATTTTACAAGTCAATTAATATATAAAGGTGAAGATTAATTTTGTTTGTTAACAAGACCAAATGAACAAAAAATTGCACACATGTCGGGTTTATGAAACCATCTACTCGGAGCTCATTACAAAACTTGAAATTCTTGAATGAACAAAGAAATACAATCGTTTGTAAAATAATGTTCATTTGTATATCCAAACTGTTGTTTGTTTTTTGTGATGCACTCATCCGTAAATATTTCCTGCAAAAAATGGCTTAATGGTTTTAATAGAAACATATGGTACAAAATGTGTAATAATATAATTGTTGATTATATTTTATTCATCACGTAAAACTCATCAACAATGACCCTTAATGATATATAATAATATTGAATAAGAATTTCATAATTTTTTTTGCCACACAGGAGACTTGAATAAAATCTGCCTTTTTAAGCTAACAGCCATATGCTAAAGTCTCAGACTCTTGAAATCATTGTTCCCAACTCTTGTATGGACTACATGTTCTTCATTTGATTAATCCTCTTTAGAAAAGGCATGATTTACCTTGAAAATTGGTTGTCTAAAGTCTGGACTGTGCAATCAAACTTAAGACTGCGTCCAGACTTGTGGTTTGTGAAATCGACTGTTCATAACTCCTGACTGTAGGTATCATTTACCAAACACTTGAATGCTTGAACTTCGACAATGCTTCTCTGTTTTGCTTCCTGAAACATGATATCAATCAAAAAGAAAGAAAAGGGAATTAAAAAAAACTACCAATGACCAATTTGACTGTTTGCAACAGTCATGAACACTTTGACTTGTAGCAGCAAGGGCATGCCCAAGTTCATGTATCAATACAGATATGATAGAATGCATCAAATGATTTATAACAAGACGAACATCAATTGCATGCTCTAAACCAAACCAAAGCCAACATTACCCTCTCAAAGTCATGCTTTTTTTGGGTGGGGGGGGGAGCATAAAGTGGTTGTGACTAACAGCTTAAAGTGGGCTTCAACTTAGGCATGTTCATGTGGTTTAAAATCAAAATAGGTATGTTATATTCAAAAATCCTGAACAGAATATGTAGCAAGTTAATGAGTGGGCTCACCACATTTGAAAACTTTGTAAACAACCCCTAACAGTGGAACACAAAGAACCTCAGTCAACAAAGTGTAATTAGTGAATAGTGAACCTTTAGGAGAAAAACAGGCATTATGCAGCGTCTACAAAAAGTTAGATTAGTTCAAATATAGTCAAAGTCATGCTTTGGGGGGGGGGGGGCAGAAAGTGGCTGTGACAAACAGCTTAGAGTGGGCTTCAACTTAGGTAAGGCATTCTATAGCTAAAAAAAATTAACTGCAACATATGTGATCATGGAACAGTAGGATATATGTGCACACATATAGATTAGACCTCTGTATACATTAATATATGAGTGTAGAAATACATATGCACACACATGTTGCTGTTTTGGCAAACAATCCATTTAAACAGGAAATGGAAATATCAAGTTGGTTCATTAAACCAAGTTTGTTCATATAAACATATAAATGGAAATATCAAGACATAACAGGGCTGTTTGGTTGTCATTTTCTATTTGAAGTATAATGTACACACAGAACACACACACACAACACTCTGCTGTTGAAATTTAACACCTGTTGTTGACATTTAACAGGTGCTGTAGACATAACCTACCATACAAACTCAAAAACTTAAAAAAAGCTTAGTTAATATGAAGCAGTGTAAACAGAAACAGAAGTGGGAGGAGCCTATTTAAACTGCATATGGCTACTATATTGATTCTTAGACTTAATATGGCCACTGTATTGACATTTAAAGTGGAACAACAGCTAGGTAGAAAGATAACATCTAAAAGTATTATACTTTAAACCATATCACCTCAGAATATGGTAGTTAAGATCCAATCACAACATACCTGAAATTTCCTTTTTCAATCCTTGGCAAAATTGTTACAAGTGAAATAGGTCAAAATTTTGGATAAGCGAATGATGAAACCAAATTAAGTATCCAACCCATGCTTCATCAAACCAAGAGTGTCATGCAATGGTATACCTTGGACAAATTAAGTATCCAACCCATGCTTCATCAAACCAAGAGTGTCAGGCAATGGTATACCTTGGACAAAGTAAGAATAAAGAGGCAGCTGAAGCTTTGTATGAGCATTGAGCCATAAATAAATAAATAAATAAAATCCAAGAATGGGCTTGAAAGATATTCTATTATTTCAGGCTATGTGACCTGTGGCATTCTTTCTTGTAAGTGGGCTTGAAAAATCAGTAGTTCAAATTTTACCGATAAATGGAAGGTTTATCTAAATACTACAGCAATATGATCATAATTTATGTAAAGTGGAAAATTGGCACCTATGCAACACAAACACTATGACAACAACAATAATGTTGGTTCTCAGTAGCTTTGATTACCACCAGCAACAACATGTTCATGGTTCTCCAATATTCTCAAAATGGGTGGTTGTAAGTTGAAGGTGGTGTGGTTGTAAGTTGTGGTACCAATGTGGGCCAGATCAAAGATCAATAGCCCATGGACTAAAGTTAGACTATCATCCTACTACTACTACTACACAGGTTCAAATGCCAATTAAAACATCTTCAAAACAGAACAAAGGGGCTGTTTAAACCAGTGTTAAAACATAATGCAATCTTGTTGCAAACCACAGATGTGTGTCCCAAACATGTGGCCAGATGTGTGTGCAGTCCCAAAGATGTGTGTCCCAAACAGAATGCAGTCTTAATTACCAATACTATTGCTTGCTTAAGATCTGCAAAGTTTTTAAGACTAAGGGGCCGTTTACCAAACCCTTATCCAGGTAAGGGCTTACCAAGTCACATTACCTTACCGGATGAATATGGAAAGACCAAAAATCTTACCCGGTAAGAGCGAAGGTAAGGACCGAGAGTCTTACCCGGTAAGTGAGAACGACGGCTTTTACCACGGTTAGCTTTTACCGGATARATTGTTGCATACGATTTTGTTTTGATCTTACCCGGTAAGTAAGTGATAGTGTTGAATTTTACCCGTAAAATCTTACCCGGGTAAGCGGAACCGGAGTCTCTCTGTTCTTGATAGCTACAAAATAATTTTGGCAAGGATTGTTACCCGGTAAAGGAAAGTTAGAATGGTGACTCTTGGTGGATTACTTACTCGGTAGGCCTTTGGTATACGACCCTAAGTCCATAATTTTTGCATCCGTTCTTTAACCACGAAATAATTTTTGCATCCCTAAGACCATATTATAGAGATGCATCATAATAGTGAAAATAAACAATAAATGACAAGGAAATTTTGGTTAAAAATCACGCATAAGTAGATCAAGATAAAATTACAAAAAAGTAACTTTACAACAAACACATCATACAAGATACCTTATTATCGTCCAAGTCATCCTATCATCCTGAAGATGGTAAGAATGAAGCTCACCTGAAATAATAAAAAAAATTCTATAACATGACATTATGCTCGCAACCTGTCAAGTTATGGTAAAAAAATGTCACATTTAACTTGGCTATTCTCATCCAATTCCCTCTCCGTTTGATCCTTCCTCAACCCACATAAACTAAAGATTAGGATATTCCATAAGTTTATCAAGCTAGAAGCATCAAACTAAAATCCACAAAATGATCATAAAGGAAGTTAGAGAAAGCAACTTGGAAAAAACATGGTACCCTACCAAAAGTCAGAAATGCAGAAGGCTTTGTACCTTATCGGGTTCAAAACAGAACTATTGTAGATTACAGGTTAGACCTGCAAATGTCGCATGCAACAAATAATCACCTGCAAATTGATATTTCATCAGATAAATTAGATCTTAGAACTAAATCCTTAAGCATTGCAAACAAAACAAACAAATCTAAATCCTTGCATTTTGTTGTCCTATAAATTAAAAGCACAATAATATTCAATCAAGAATAATATGACAAGYCGTGTAAGGATAATACACTATAGCATCTAACATTTCAACTAACACTTCACACTACAATCGTATCCAAAACATGATGAGCTCATAAATTAAGACAAACAAACCAACAAAATAAAGACAAAACAAATAATTACAAGTGAAAATTATCCCAAAATAAAAATAAAATACCTTTCCAAAACATGATTCCATTGATTTGGATAGACTATTATAATGTTGAAGATCCAAATATCCTTATACAAAATTCCTTCTTACTAACCATATAAAGAAAAAATATTATGGACATTAAATTTCACATCTTAGCTGATAAGTTTAGCCTTCCAACAGTCCACCTTTGTTGACCATGAGATATTGGCTTCATGCCTTGATACAATATGCTACCAAAAAAATATGAGACTGGTCCCTAGATTTAGAGAACTATACACAAACCCAAGGCATTGAAACAAATTAAAACGACATCGTGTATAACAATTTATCCGGTAAGCTCTTACCGGTAAGTGTTGAATACATGGCCCGGAGTCATCAGAAAAAACATAATCATGATCCAGATTTTACTGTACCGGCAAAAATATATTGAGAATAAGTAAATTATATAACAATACATGCGGAGAGATCTTACTTCATATAACTTCTCTAGGTACTTATTAAAGATAAATTAACAATGGAGAGGGTGCTCATTAAGGAAAACAACAATGRATTAAGAGCCATATTGGATGACCAGGAAAATCAAACAACAGGTAAGACAGTTTTAGCTTTGAAGCAAAACTGTTGTCTCAAATGTCAAAACTAAATGCATAGAAACAAAAAATACCAGCTTTCCAGTATATCTTCAAATAGGGGTTTAAGGTCCTCCCATCGTGAAGATGAAGTAATTTCCTGCAGCAAGACAAACCGAAATTAAATTAATAAGAACAACCCCCAGTGTCAGCAGTCCTATACACATTTCAACAAAGACATATAGTCAAACCTTAGAAGTGCTCAAGTCATCTGCAAGACATTTACGCCTTTCCGTTTCTTTCTCCACCCTTTCACGAACTCTCTCTTGTAACTCGTCAAATACAAGTTGTAAGAAAGAACGGTGTGTATTAGATTCGATATATATATATATATATATATATATCTGGTGGTCAGCCTGGAACAAATTGTTTCAATTCAAATTATTGATATTTGCAAGAAATCGAAATGTGTGCAAGCAAAAACTGTGTTATGTCCTACTACAGATAAAAAACTTTTGTCCCAAAATGAAACCAGTCTTTGAGATTGAATGTGTGGAAAATAGAACTTCCAAGTAATCAAAACCTAGAATCATGGAACGATTTCTCGTCACCTGATTCCCTAATTTAAGTAGAATGTTAATGTTTCTACCGACCTTAAGGCTCCATCCCAATCAACAAAACACCAAAGTCGAGAATGGATTCGAATGGTTGATCCTTTTGGACAGAAAAAAAGAATTTCCCAGCAAACTTGTGTTGAAGAGCATCCCTGATTTCTTCAGGGTGTCTAGTAGTTTCGATGGTGAATTTCCCATTTTCAGAGTCGACATCTAACAATTTGACACCATCAAACCGACAAAGTGTCTTTTTGACCTTTCTTATACATTTGGTGCAGTTATGTAATGGGATGATTTGAAGATCAACCATTGTTGTAGTCATCTCTGATGTCTGCTGAATAGGTCAAGAAAGAAAACACAACCGAAACATATGACAAGTTGTTCTGTAAGCATATAAAAACAGCTTTGCTTCGAGATATAGAGTGTGCAAAAATCAAAATGTAAATGTACCCGGTAACAGCAGAATCATCTTCAGTTCGACTTAAAAACATTTAAGTAATTAGACCTCTAGATAATAAAAACAGACTTGGTGTAGAACAATAATTCGACGTTGTGTAAAACAATAATGAAATTAAAAAATAGATAAATCTATGAAAACATTAAATAAACAAAGCGAAAAAAGGAATTAGAAGAAGATTTATTCAAACCAGGAAACAGGGCCATCCCTATTCGGTGAAGAAAGGAGATGAAGTTTCTGCACACAAGAACCCTAACCCACATAAATGAAGATTTTGAAAGGAATCAACACACAGAAACAATTAATTTGAATGTTAACCCATAGAAAACTCATAAACTCTAACCAACCAAATGAAGATGGAAACCAAAAAAATTACCTTGATTGGAATCCTAGCCGTATTTGAAGCATGGATTGGGGGTGAATCGTCAACTTCTAAATCGTCACTCCAGGAGGGAATCGATGAGAATGTATGGGGCGATGAAATCATAATCTGCAAAACCCTCAATCGTAATCTGCAAAGCAGAGTCGATATCATCTCAATCGAATTAAACAATTTCATCGAATTGGGTTAGGGTTGCGATAAAAATGGGATTGGGAATTAAACGATTTCATCGATTCATCGATTGGGTTAGGGGCGATGGGATTAGGGTTGCGATAGATAAAAATGGGATTGGAAATTATGAGCGATAAAATGGGATTGGGTTAGGGGCGATAAAAATGGGATTGGATTTAGGAAGGGGGGTTTAGGATAGTATGCTTTAGTAGGTTGTACCTAAAGCAATAGAAGTTGTTTTTAAGAGATTAAGAGTTTAAGAGTTTAAGAGTTTTAGCCAAATGCATTATAAGATAGTATAGATATATAGTCTTTAAGTGCTTTGGGAAATGAGAGCTGTAAAGTATTGACTTATGGAGGTGGGGTTGTCAGCCCTATAACCCTACCATGTCCCATCCCTTTTTGTGTAAAGTAAGATTATTTGGGGGGGTTTGGGTTGAATCCTCCTTTTTGAGTCGTTTGGAAAAAAAAAGAGGATAAGAAAAAGGAAATCTTAGGGAAGAGGGAAGGAAGGAAAGAAAAAAGAGGGAGGGTTGGAGCCGAGTGGAGATCTCAGTTGAAGCAACAAGTTAGCCGCTGTTGAAAAGGAGAGAGATCGGCCCATCTTCTTCGGAGCTACGACCTTTTACAGCAACAATCGCTGCCTGCATTTCGCCTCTCCTCTGCCGACCAACAGCAAGCAAGGGGCTGTTTACCTGTTTTCTTCTCGACAAGCAGCAGCAGCAAGCTGTCTGCGCTTGCTGCACACCTCCTCCGACCAGTCCAGCAGCAACAGCAAGCTGTGCGCTTGCTGCACGCCTTCTCAGATCAGCACAGCATCAGCAGCAAGCGGTCTGCGTTTCTTTGCGCTCTCGGATCATCCAACAGCAGCAGCAGCAGTAGGCAGCGATTTTGCTTTCTTTATTGCTGTCCAAAAACAGCCGCAGCAAGGAGGAGCTGCGGGTCCTTCGCGAGCAGCGAACAGCAACAGCAGGCAACAGCCTTGCTGTGCTGTTTCTCCAGTCCTTGCCGCTCAACAGCAGCTTTGCTGCGCGTGTTATCGCTCCCTCGCCAAAGCAGCAAACAGCAACAGCAGGCAACAGCCTTGCTATGCTGTTTCTTCGCAGTAGGTCGTCCAAGACAGCAGAGTTCGTGCTGTTTCTTCGCCTGCTTTCGTCTAGCACCAGTTGGATATGTTTTGTCTGCATCAATCCGGAGCTAGGGATTTATCTTAATCCCTGCATAGTGACTTCACCTTCCCTTTTCCTCAAAGATTGATTATATTAGTTTTGGGTACTTGGTAGAAAACTATCTCCAACAACCAGCACGAACTATTAGTTGAGATTTTTGAGGTTGAACATTTTTGGCTGTTAGGGTAACATACAGTTGTTTGTTACATGGGTTATTAGTCTTACTCGATGTTATTATGTAGTTTAATGAGAAACTGCACTACTAAAACTTATTTTATTATTGTTGGCCAAACTCCGTTAAATTTGATGAAGGAACTGATAAGGATAATCATAGTAGCATGTTCTCCTTGAGATCTGACTACCTCAATGTGTAAGATGTACTTTTACACTACTAAGTCCTTGGTTCATAACTTTTCTGGATCAATCCCTTCTATGTTGTCCCATGTAATTACAATGGCATCCACAGATTAATACAATATTCCTTTACCATCCATCTCTAGAAAGAACATTGTTGGCGCCTTGTATCATCCCAAAACTCTAGAATGAAGAGAACCACATTTTTAGGTGTGCTTTTCACGCCGTATAGAAACCTTTAAAAGAAAATCGTCGCTGAGAATTTACCTCTATTTGCAAGAAGTATTGTATTACTCTAGAAATTATTTGAGGATATAATTGGCAATCCTTTTCTTAGACTTAGATTGTTGACTAAGGTCTATACTTGGAGTGTTAAGTAGTTTGGACTCGGAAGTCGTTTTTTTAAAAAAAATTGTGAAAGGGGTTGGTAATCGATTCAGATTTAGGCATTGCGATTATTATGTAACTTCTAAATCCACCTTCACATTTTTCCACTCGGAAATAGGCATTGTGATTATTATGTAATTTCCGAGATAAAGAGCTTATGATCACCACCGACTACATGACTGGTTTAGGTTGATGTCAAAGGTATTTTAAACCTGTGAGTGATGCTGTATAACGTTGATCTATGACTTACTTCGTGTCTGTCATAATTAATGGTAAATCGGGTCTCCCCGTCATCTTCGGATGTTTTGGTTCTATCTCGAATTTTTGAGGGTTATATGTTCGCCTTGCATCGTTTAAAGTTATGTTACGTGCAAATTTTTCATTATGGTAAATTTCTATATATATATATATATATATATATATATATATATATATATATAGATTCATTTAGTCCAGTAGGTAAGT